AAAATATTAAGAATAAAGTCTGGTACCATCACACCTACAGGGTCACTAAATTAAGAAAAGGGTTCTGCTCAGTAGACTGTATCTTAAATTCCCCTGTTAATATTAAAGGTGTGACAGGCTGAAAGAGCAAGTTGATTTGTTTGGGGCAGAAACCAGACACCTTTCCACACTGTCTGCTTTTTCAGAGGATAGTTGTGTGCTCCTGTCACAATCTTTTCTGTGGAGCATCATGAGTCTCACATCAATAAATGAGACACAGTGAGAGGGATGTGTGTTAACAGCTGAACGTGGCCTGGACTCTGAATGTGCAGTTCAGACTGGCTGGTAGGAACAGCAGATACATCAAATCCTTCTGAGTCTGCAGAGTACTTTCTGTGCCAGTATCTACTTTCCAGAAAGTTTCCATTTTTTGCTCAAGACCTCTTGGACAATAGCAATATAACTGAAGGGGCCTGTGCTCTTCATACAATGTCTTGAAAGGGGTATTTGAAAGTCATCTTTTGAAAAATTGGCACAGGCTGTATTCCTTCAAAATATCTCATGCTGAAGTGCTCATGTTTTATAGTACTGATTTTTCCACATGTAAGTGTTAAACAGAACTCCATTTTGTGGCTATTATAGAAAAGAAGATATATTTTTAGGCAGGGAAAATATCACCCTAGAGCTTTTAATCTTGGAACTTGGCCAAACTTTGTTAATGAGTCAGTGTAGCACAGCTACTGTCCTTCTGCAGCAAGTGGAGATGTGGTGTATCAAAGGTTGGAGCGGGGCAGGGGGACTGGGCTGGTTTGGAGTTGAGGCATTAACCTCTTGTCTGACCCCTGTAACACAGAGACAGCTTCTAACGGTGCTGACTGGCACCCAGGCAGACTTTGCTTCATCCTGTGTTTGCAGAGAGCCTTCTGGCTAAAAGTCAGGCTTAAGACATGTGGGCTTGGATGCTCACTGTGCCCAAGTTTCAGGCAAGCTGTGATTTGCTTGTGTTACATTCTGATGGGCATTCAGCATTTCCAGATGGGCACTGGGCTCATGTTCAGGGGAGGGTCTGGGATTTCTGGCAAGCTATGGACAGACACAGTGGCCTGAGTTTTAGTAGCTGAGTCCATAAAATCTGAGGACAGTTTGTACAGCTCCTTACCTCAGTCTGGCTTCTGCTGGGTTTGGTGCTACACTTCAACAGCAGGTGAGCTGCAGCCTTGGAGCTGCCACTTGTGCCAACCAGACTTGGCACAAGCAGATATGAAGGATTGTTGCTGAAAATCCTCAGTGAGATTTAGTGATGGAGAGCAGGTTTCTTCATCCCTGCCTTCCTGCTCTGCTATCCTGCCTGCCAGAGGTGCCAGCAGGCCAAGCAGAACAGGCACGACATCTCAGTGCAGCTGGAGTATTAATCTGATGCCAGTTGAAGGTGGTGTGGCTGTGATTGCTGAGGGGAGGGTGTGGGAGCTGATCAGGTGCCCTGGCACTGCCAGCAGCTGCCCACCCTTGGCAGACAGCTTATTCCCACCAAGTGTAATCACAGCTCAGTCTGGCAATGTCTGGGTTTGAGCTGAAGGAACAGACACAAAATCCAGTCTCTGTGAACACAAGGGTGTAGGCAAGGGGGGGTGTGAGGGTACCTGGCCATGTGGAGACAGCACGTGTTTGGAGTCACAGAACCATTTAAGTTGGAAAAGGCCTTTAAGATCATTGAGCCCAACCATTAACCCAGCACTGCCAAAACCACCACCAAACCATGTCCCCATGTGCCATATCTACATGTTTATTAAATCCCTCCAGAGGTAGTTACTCCACAATTTCATGGGGCAGCCGGACCACCACTTCAGTGAAGAATTTTTTCCTGACATCCAATCTAGACCTTCTCTGGTGCAACTTGAGTCCATTGTATTTGCTCAGTTGCTTAATCAGAACTTCAGAACAATGAGGTGAGGAAAAATATTTGTACCACATAGTAACCAAATCCAGGAACACAGAATAATTCTGCTATTGATAAACAATCTTTGTGGATCCTAAAATATGCATTTTAAGAGGTATGGGTTCTTGACTCTTCACCTAGTCAATGGTTACTTCTGCATTCCTGTGGTACTGTGAATTCAAACATAATGAGTTTCAATGGGCTCATCTCTGCGAGCAGAGCAGCACAAATACCACATACAAGTTTTGGAGAGCTTTTAAGGGAAGATAAGTGGTTACTGCTACTCCTGTGAGGTTGTTTTGCCCCTAGGAAAGGGTTCACTTCCTGAGAAAGGACATTCAGAGGAGGTCAGTACACACAGGTCTGACCTAAAGGACAGGATCAACTTGCAAATACTCTTGAGAGGTAAGGGAGAAACAGGAATTTCCTTCATTGAGCCATTCCCCTCAACAGGAAAGTGCTGTGTGAGATTTCTTAATCACCAGAATGTGTGAAAATGGGACTTTTTTAAGAAGCAGATGAAAGCTTGCCAGAAGGAATGATGGGACCAGACTAACCAGTCTGAATGAGTTCAGGTCTAATAAACAACTTCTAGTTCAATGGCAAAAGAACATCTGAAAACATCTTTTGCAACAGTTGGGAGCACTGAGCTATTTTGATGAAGTGTTTTGAATTTAAATTGGAAGTGACCATAACAATAATGTTTTTAATGGGTTTATAAAACTTAAATAACTTGCATTTTTGAGATTGAGTTTGCCAGTTTTGGGTTTCTGGGAGGTCCTCAACTAGGAATCACTGTGAAAAACATGGGAAATGGGGAATTCTGTATTTATTCTACTTTTCTGCCTTTTTTTCACTTTGTAGTTTACGCTGAAATGTTTTGAAATAAAAAATGTTGGATTTGATGCAAAAATTTCTGCAGGGAAACATGAGGGATTTTTGAGGAAAAAGTTGCTTCAGGAGGAAATTATTGTCTCTTTCTCAGTGAACTCAGGTTTGATCTACATTGGGCAGAATAATACATACCATTAGGCTGCAGGACAGCCTGTGCCTGTGGAGGAGTCACAAACTGTGATCACAGGAGCTCTCTTTGAGTTACAGGAGCTCTCCTGAGGAGCCCCTGAGGCCCAGCTGAGCAGCTCCTTCACTCCCAGACTCGGCACTCAGTTCTTTTCAATGTTGATTATCTCAGCAATAGGCAGGGACCACTGATCCCCACTGAGGCCTTTCTCCTGCAAGCTGATGTGTGCCCACATGAGTCTGCAGTGCTGGCATTAACAAGAGGGGGGTGCTGGCCGCTGGACAGGAGCCAGCACTGAGGAACCGTCTCTGAGGAAGGCTTTTAACTGATTGAATGGAGTTGCTGTGTTTCTCCAGGGACTGCTTTGTCCTCCTGCTTCAGGTGGGAGCAGTGCCTAGGTCTGAATTTGGAAGCCTCTTTAGGCTTCTTCATGGCTTGGCTGAACCTCTGTTTTAGTTCCCTTATCACTGGTGGAGCTGCAGACTGTGTGAGATTTCAATTAAAATATCTCGTGATGGAACATCATCGTTTGTGATGTGTCACAAGAGCATGGCCTGTGTCCTGTGACAAGACTCCAGATGGTCAAACTGTCCTTGCATTTCTTGTGCTGCCTGGGGAGAGCAGGGGAGGATATCTCCAAGCTAATGGCCCAGTGGTGGCTACTGGGCTGTGAGTAGGAGCACAGGGAACTCTCAGGAGCGGGTGTGGAGATATGAAGCTCTTGCAAGATGAGTTTAAAGTAGGAACCTGTTTGGTTTAAGTTCATGGTAAAGTTTTAGTTGTTGTCAGTGGATGCTTCATTTACTGCTTCATTTGGGAGCAATCCAGTGCCTGATCATGCCTGGAGTCCTTTGTCATCCTCTCGTATCCCACCGTTCCCTCCCCGCTGCTCTCTGGCCAGTACATCTCCTTCTCCTCTTCCAATTCTTCGGGCACTTTCCCTGACCATGGCAGATTCCTCATCTCTACAGAATGCCCCAGCTCTCTTGGCAGAGATGTCAGACCCTGCATCTCCTGCCTGACACTAACTAGCAACCCCCTGCTGCACTGGGGTACTTTTAATTCAAACCCAGTGTCGTGTTTAAATAAGGTTGTGCATGTTGTAACACATCTGAGTACAGCTCAATGGGGCTGCTTGTACAAGCATAACTCTGCTGATTGCTGGTCCTCCCCCTCTCCTAACGTAAATTAAGGCAATCAGGCTACTTTCTAAATTCCATGGCTAAGAGTGGCTGATGGACCTTTATAACAGTGAGAAATAATTGTATTGCCTTTAATTGCTTTATAGCCCCTGTCTCCTGGAGACCATTTGCTACTGCCAAAGCACTCTGTGACTGAAGCCAGGCTTCCAAACAGCTGGATATGGCAGAGGTGTGGAGGTTAAAGCCAGCCTCAGCACACAGTAGCTGGGGAGCCTGGTCAGGTGGTGGCCTGCAGCTACTGCCCTACTCCCATTAATAACTCATACTGGGGACACAACTCAGAGCCAAGGTTCAAACAGACCATTGGTCCAAAAACTCAGCTGTTCCTGCCCAGGGCACAAGGAGTATGGAGAGGTGGGTTAACAGTGGATATCTGCAGGCTCCTGATCCTTCTCCTGATTTCTGTACATAAACCAGATGCACATTTGGCTCTGCTGTGCCACAGCTGGGAAGGCAGTGAGGGCTGTGCTTCCCTCTAGGGTCAGGCCTGGGATGGGCTGAGGAGCTTATGGGAGTTGAGCTGGCAGCAAAGGTGGAGAGAATTATCCTCAGCTGGGTTTGCTCTCTGCTCCTTGCTGGAGAAATCTGCAGGTCTCGAGCTCATACATCTGCTGCTTCCTGGGCAGGATCAGTGTGACAGATTGCACAGATACACCTTCCTTAAGAGCATTCACTTGAGGTACAGAGGCACAGGGTGGTGCCATGGTGCAGCACAGGGTCAGTATCTCTGCCTGGCAGGCTGTGTGTGTTGCTGCCCAGTGGTGCATGTCGTATCCTCATGCCTGGCAGGCCAGGAGCTGTGCCTGAGTCATATGAAGTTGGTTGGAGGGCCTTTTCCAAGGTCTGTGCACTCAGCAGGCTGCAGGACACAGCATGGAGCTCTTCTGGGTCTATGGATGCTCACAGGTGTGAACCCATTCCAGAGAGGAGGTGAGAGCAGAGGCAGTACCTGAAATTTCCCCTTCTCTCCTGCTGTCAGAGTAACTTGCCTGAGGAGGCAGTGAAGCTCTGCAGGGGCCCAGCAGTGGGACAAGCTGCTGTGGAGAAGAGCTGCAGAGCCCCAGCCAGGAGCCCAGGGGTTAACTCAGCACTACGGGGCTTGAGTCAGCCCAGGCTTGAAGGACAGCCCAGCACAGAGCAGCCTTCAGACCAAACAAAGTACCTTCTGCTGAGCTGGGGCACAGATAAAAGATCCCATGGCATTTCTTGTGTAGCTTGGAGGAGACTGCCAGTGCTGAAGCTGAAATATCTCTGCCAACAAACAAAACTGTCTTTAAACTCTGAGGCTGTGTGTGAGCTATTGTTGGGGACATAATGGCTTCTCTGTTTCCCTGCACAGTCATTGCTCTGCAAACACACCACTGGTCTCTTTTAAAAGTGGTTGAGTGTAAATTAAGTTCTAGAACCTGGAAAGAGGTTTCATCCATTTACTTTTACTACCCTCAGTTGACACTTGTTTACAGAGCAGCACATACAGTAGATTTACAGCTGCTTTACCTGGATGGAGATGGGCATCTTTAGTGCTCAGGCTGAGACTCACAGATACAGGGCTTGGACAGCAAATATATATCTCCTGGTTTAAGGCAGGGGGTGAGTCTTAGGGGGCCCTACTTGCTAATCACTCCCCTCTAAGAAAAGTTTTCATTTGGCTGGCCTGACCTGTTTCCTCTAGTTAGCTCAGTGCTGGCACACTCAGTGCTGCCTAATCCTGAGTGTGCAGCTGCTGCAGGGCACTGAGTGCTGCTCTGCCTGGGGGAGTTCACTCTGCCTTGGGCTGCTGGGCATCCACAGTGGGGTTGGTGCATCTGTTCTTCACCACAATTCCATGGACTGGCTTTTCTCTGAGGATGGCAGATGCTCTGGTAAGGTAAAGGACATCTTGGCTATTGTGCTGAAGTTGTGGTAAAAACCCAGAGCTGCAGTACAAAGGGGGGAGGTGGTCTCTGAAGGCAGTAAGATTAATTTAGGTCTATTTTTCTGGAATGGTCTTGTAATGGAGGAAAATGGGTCAAAGAGTAGCTGTTCAAGCTATATGTGCTGAACTGCCTGTCCCACCAAGGTGGCAGTGACTCTCCATCCCCTTGATAGCTCTCTGCTCATCCCCGTGTGCACCCAGAGAGCTCCTTGGTGTTCTGTGCTCACTCTCAGGTGAGCTGCAACCCCATGCAGCCCGGGAGCAGCCGAGTGCAGGACTGGGACACAGACTGGGACACAGGGAGACCTGAGCACTGGCCATGGCCCTCTGGAAGTGCCTGGCTCGTCGGGAAGGTGCTCTGGCCAAGGGCTCCAGGCAGGAATGGGTGCTGTGCTCACCCTGGGCTGTGCCAGGTAGCTTTATCCAAGGTTACTCCCTAATGACCTAGATGTGTTTTGCACTGGTCCTTGGCAATGTTCCAGACAGAAACTCCTCCACACACGTGCCATTTTAAAGCAGATTATCTGAAGTTAATTTTTTTTTAAACTTTTTTCCTGAAGATGATGCCAGCCATGACTAACAGCAGTTGTGTTCTGCTCCTTGGATTTCCCTTCTCACCTATGCATCTGGTTGTTTGTGTGATGTTTCCTGCCCACTGTAAGGCAGGTTCCTACCCAGGTGATGGTTGCTGGTTTGAGGAAAGGAGGTGGCAGCAGGGCTGACAATCCTGTCTCTTTCCACAGGAAGATGAAGACACGCTGTGTGGTGGTGGCAGTGGTGGCTGTAGCCCTGCTGGGGCTGGTCCTGTTCCTGGGGCTGTTCTTTGGGCTGCGCTCAGGGGACACACACACCTACAGGAGGGCGGCCGTGGCCACCGACGCGGGGCCGTGCTCCATCATTGGAAGGTACCCCCTCACTGTGCCCTGCCCCTCCTTAGCTCTGGCAGCTCTTGCATGAAACAGAACTGTTGCTTCCCCAATGCCCAGGTGCAATCCCTGCAGTTACCCAGCATGGATAATCAATCCCTAATCTCCCTGTAGAAAGAGGAGATCCTAATAAACCCCGGGCTTTTACCATGCTTGACCAACTTCACTGCAGTTGCTCACAAACAGCATAGCAAGCAAGGATTCCTTGGATCCATTAACAATGAGAACAAGAGTTTTCTTTCTAGCTCCTTTAAAAAAACATTTATTGATATATCCTCCAGGTCTGTTCTCAAGTACTGCAGATTTTAAACTATAATTGCTTATGACAGTGTAATGAATGTGTGTGGAATGTCTGTCCCCACGTGTACTCTGTCTCATCTTGCTGTTTTCAAGCTGGTTTGGATGTGTCTCTAATCAGGGCTGATCTGGTCTGCACACTGACCATTAAAGGTCTGTTGTCCCTGATGACAGGAGCTCAAAACTTCCTGAGGAACACATAGACTAAGTGTGGACAAATGTGCCTCAGAGAATCCGTTATAGCTGCTCTGATGTAGTGCATGCACTGCTGGCAGGGAGCTGAGACACTGTCACATGTCACCTTCCCTTCTGCTGCACAGGGACATCCTCAAGCAAGGAGGATCAGCAGTGGATGCTGCAATTGCAGCCCTGCTTTGCGTGGGACTCATGAATGCTCACAGCATGGGAATTGGAGGGGGCCTCTTCTTTACCATCTACAACAGCACAGGTAAGGGACAGGGCCACATACAGCTGCAACAGCTGGAGAATTTCATCTAAAGCAGGTGATTTATCCTACCTGAGAGAAGGTAAACGACTGATGCTCGCAGCCTCTGGGGGAATGTCCTCAAAATAATTGCTAAGAAACTGGCTCAGAGTCCTCCAGCAGAGACCATGCCTGTGGCTGAGTCCAGAGCTAAACATCATCTTCCTTGCTCTGTCATTAAAGGAAAAGTGGAAATCATTAATGCAAGAGAAGTGGCTCCAAAAAATGCATCGGAGGACATGTTTGGGAACAACACACAGCTCTCTCTGAAAGGTATGGCAAAGGCTTTGGGGGGACCACATAGCTCTAGCATTTGCTGCTACCAGCACATCTACATAAAGAACATTTCTTATGGTTAGGTTCTTGCCTACCTACAGGATTTCTCACCTAGAAATATCCTGGAAATATCCTCTTACTCAATTTGCAAATTGTGACCTGACAAAGAAGCTAAGAACAATGCTCTTTAAACTAGTCAGGAACCCCATCACTTTCTGCTTTTCACTTCATGAAAAAGCAGGTGAATGCAAAGCACTGAGTATGACCTCTTCCAGCTGTGCCATCTTTCCTTTCCATCTCTTTGAATAAATCTTTGTGTGGATCACCTTGGGTTTTGTCAGTTCAGATGTCCTCCCTAAATTATTTGTTGTGGTGGCTTCAACTAATGGCTTGGGGCCTCCAGGGAAGTTTCCTTTCAGGAAAGTATTTTCTAATAAGAAATAGAAAGAAATACTAAGTAGTTATCTTCATGGTCCCTCTTCTAAGCAAGAGGGAACAGCATCTTGGAGGGGGTTTGATCAATGTGTTGAATTTCTGTGAGATGCAAGTGGAAACAGGATTGAAGCAAACTGCAGCATCAGTGCGCAGTGTGGAATCAATCTGTTCCAGTTGTAGTTACAATGCTGCAACAAAGTTTTTGACTCAAGTATATCACAGTCTGTGTCCTCTTTTGGTGATAGCTTCTGTGTTCTGAGCAGCTTTGCTCTGGTACAGAGCCTGCAGAGGGAAAATGAGCCTAAAACTGGAGTTACCAGCAAGAGGACAGAGAGGTTTCAGCAGTTCAGAACACGTAGGCACAAATGTCGGACCAAATTATTCTGTTAATTCTCACAAGCTGAGCTGGTCACTACACACAAGCCCTGCCTAAAACCAGGCTGGCAGAGATGCCTGCCCTACCTCCTACTCCATCAACCACTTTCTTTTCTTGCTGTAGGAGACTTAACATTCCTTTTCTACTCCAGGAGGACTGTCAATTGCTGTTCCAGGAGAAATCCGTGGCTATGAGCTGGCTCACAAACGTCATGGCAAACTGGCATGGAAAGACCTGTTTCTGCCCAGTATCAAGCTGGCAAAAGAAGGATTCCCTGTTGGGAAAGGCCTTGCTGCAGCCATCAAATCAAAAGAGGAGGCAATTGAAAGCAATCCATTGCTGTGGTAGGTAGAGCAGTTGCTGTTTATGCAGAGGAATTTGGGGTGGCTGCATCCAATCTGCAATGTTGCTGTGTTTGTGCAATGCAGTGTCCATGAGTGTGCATCCCATGCAGTAACCACACTCACTGTGCCTGCTGGTGTCACTGCAGATGCCTGAAGGTGCTAAATCATGGGGAAGATTCAGTCCTGACCTTTAAAGGGGGAGAAATTCTACTCCTGAAGACCATTTGTCTGAGCAAGGTGGCATTAAAGTGTGTGCTGGGATCAGTCTGCCCAATGGCAATGTGTTTTCTGAATCCCTGCTTTTCCTCATGCTGTAAGTGCACCAAGCTGATCTTACCTGCATTTGGAGTAATTTCAGAGTCTCCTTGAACATCTCATCTGCTGTCAGGCAGTGGGAATTTGGATCACCTCTTACTCTACAATCAGCCTTCCTCAATCAGTGCCTCTGACCATCCACTTCTGGCAAAGACTTGGAGCATGAAGGGTTTTAAATACTCCTCCACTTCTTACAGTCAAATCCTTAGTGTTTATGTCCAGCCCTTCTGGAGATTATGCTTAATTCTCTCTTTTCCTTAAAATTTCTGCCAGCTGCAGGTTTGTTTCCTATCCAATTGGTAATGTACACTCTGGCCTATCTCCTGTCCTTCCCATCTGGTCCACAGCAGCACAATCATGAGGGAGCTAGAGAGGAAACAATCTACCTTAAAGTGATCTAATGAACAGGGACGGAAACACTTCTGGATTTACTGGAAGCTTTGAACCTTACAGCTTAATAGACTGTGCTCTGAATTGCACTGCTGAGTTCAAGGACTGTGGCCCCTCCTGTGCATCTTGAGGTACTTTTTGGCCCCTCAGGTGGGCAGGGAGGGTGGTGCTGAGGTGAAAGTCACTGCTCCATTGAGCTCACTGAGCATGTGGAATTGCAGGTCAGAAAACACTGCTCAATTTTGTGTCCCAGTGCCAAGATATGAGGACCCCTGGGCCATGGCTCAGGCAGTTTCTCTTCTCTCCAAGAAGCACCTAGCATGAACACTCATGCTGGTTCAGCTGCCACAGACACACATAGTTTTGAACTCGTCTCTCAGACCTGATCTTCTCCATCTCCTTTCTCTGCTAGCGAAGTGTTCTGCAAAGGCGGGAGAATTCTGCAAGAGGGTGAAACCATCAAGATGCCCAAACTAGCCAACACCTACAACACTATAGCCAGTGAAGGAGCAGATGCCTTTTACACAGGAAGCCTGGCAAAGCAGATCATTGCTGACATCCACAACGCAGGTGAGAACCAGGACATCTGTCCCAAGCAGCAGGAGTGACTACGCTGCTCAGAGCCCAGGGAGGAGCCAGTGACCTGCAGAAGCCTTGGGAGAGGTCAGCCCTGAAATGCTGCCTCTAAGATCTGTGGCAACAGGACACCAAAAAGAAGCACTTTAACAGATGTGTTTGAAAGTCAGAAATGGAAAGTGCTGTGCATTTCTGTACCACAGAGCCTCCCAAGTCTGTGCAGTTCAGGCTGTAGCTGAGTAGATACAGGCTGTTCACAGAGCCTGAATCCAGCGAGTTTGTGCCTAAAACGTTACATACGTGGTGGTCCTGTGAACTCTGAGCTGTTTGATCTCTCTGTACCACTAGATGGTGGCAGTATCCTATCCTCACCAGCCGGCACTGGCTAGCTTGGTGAACTTCCTGTGGGTAATTTACTGGCTTTATGTGTGGTGGAGAATTACTTTCTCTCTTCCCCCTTCACATAAGAAAGCTGATGGAACACTCAAATTATTCTACCTTTTGGGTGCCACAAAGCGTCTTCACCCAAAACTGCATCTTCCTCCTGTAAACAGAATTCTTACGGACATTTTGTAGTCTGACACTGCTGGTGTCCTTTTTAAAAAAAGATGGATCACCAGAGTTGTGGCTGCTGTAAATCAGCCTAACTTCATGCTTAGACTAGCTGAGCCTGAGATGGATCTATCAAGGAGTAAATCTTCTGGGCACACGTCTTTGCTTTCTTCACCTTGCTACTTTTTGGATTTGTCCATGTTCCCTCCAATCCTTGCTGTGATTCATGGTGGTGGAATATGACCTCCTCTTCCCACCAGAGATCACATAAACCCACATCTCTAGTTTCCTTCTCTTTCCAGGGGGAATCGTCACATTGGAAGACCTGCGGAACTACAATGCCACAGTGATCGAGGACCCCATACAGATCAAACTCGGGGAGTTCACCCTCTACACACCCAGTGCCCCTCTAAGTGGCCCAGTTCTGGCCCTCATTTTAAACATATTGAAAGGTGAGAGTTCCACAGAGCAGTGTCCCACAGGCAGCAGGAGCTGGGAGAGCTCCAAAGACATCACCTTTTTTGGGGGAGCAAGGCCTCCCTGATAGCCCTCCAGCAGGTGAGAAGTCTGAGAGCCCAGAAGAGATCAGAGGTGCAGAAATATTCCTCTTCTGCTGTAAACTCAGGGATGTTGCCTTCCTACCTGAAATACAAGAGCAAGAGGAAAAATATTTGCCTGATGGGGGAGCTTCTCTGATACTTGTATGGGCGGAACTTAACATGTACTTGAGGCTTCTTTGGAAAACACCTCTGCAAATACAAATTCTGCTGGTGACTCCCACAGTGCTCAAAACCACCAGAGCTCCTGAGTTCCCCATCTGGAGATTAGGACATTCCAGTGACTGCATCTCTGTAGAGACTGGGCTTCAAGGTTATACATTTGACATGGTGCATTAGCAATCCATTGACCCTGTGTTCACAGTTGTTTGTCCTCTGTTGCCAGGATATAATTTCTCTGCTGCCAGCATCAAAACTGTGGAGGAGAAAGGTCTGACCTACCACCGCATCGTGGAGGCCTTTCGCTTTGCCTACGCCAAGAGGACTTTGCTGGGAGACCCAAAATTTGTCAACATTACAGAGGTACCTGGAAAAAGACTTTTCTTTCTGCAACACCAAAGTTGACTGGAACATGGCTGAAAGTTTTTGGTTGATTCCACTTTGTCAGGCATGCTCTGTGCCACTTGCTGTTGACAGGCACTGAAACAGCTCTGAGTCAAAAAGTGGCTCATGTCTGAGCTGTGAGGGCTATAAATGGAGGCAACCTTCCTGCTGTAAGGAAAAGCAAACTCCTCAATTCACTAGGAGAGCTGGAGCACATTTAGGTCTAGCCCTGCCTGGTTTTGTGGTGTTTGAAGCCTTATTCACTATATTCCCAGCATCTTTGTGTCTCTCTAAACAGAGTCCTGCCTGTAGTAAAATGGAGCAGCAGATGGGAAGGGGTGACACTGGCCCCAACTTTGCACTTTGTGCTTTACTTCTGTGCTTGCAAAAGCACCAGACTCTGAGCCCAGCCCAGCTTGATAAACACAAATTTTCAACTTACAGAGCTCTGGTCAGACCTTGCTTTGTCCTTGTCCTCTGTCTGATCCCATTCCTCTTGTCCCTGAAGCAAGTGTAGCCCGGCTTGCCTCACAGCAGTGTAGAAACAGCTTTCCACAGCACTGCAATAATGGATGCTGATCAACTTCTGCACAAAGGGGTGACTTTAACAGCTGCTCCTGTGACAGCTTAAAATGATCTTTAGCTACAGTGTCCATCTTCCAAGAAGGAAGACCCCTGGGGGAAAACTGTAGCCTCACTGCTGGAATTTACCACTGTTCTGTGGTCTGAAGTATTGAATATCAGTCTCATGACTACATGTCTCAATCTGCTGAGTAACTGCCCTGGATTTCTCTGACAGGCAATCAGAAACATGACATCCGAGTTCTTTGCGGATAGCCTGCGGAGGAAAATCACAGACAACACCTCCCATCCAGTTGATTACTACGAGCCCGTGTACTACACTGGAGACAATGCCGGTACATCCCACGTCTCCATTGTGGCTGATGATGGCAGTGCTGTGTCCGCCACCAGCACCATCAACCAATAGTATGAGCTCAGACATTCCTTCCCTGTAGGCCTTTGCCACCTTCCTAGTGCTGGTTCTGGGGCTGGTATCAAACACCACTGAGCTGTCCCCTCTGGGGCGGGGTAGGGGTCAGTAGTGCTGGCGATGGGCACTTCTGCTCAGCACTGAGGCCTCATGCTTGTGTCAGAGGGCAAGATGTGTCCTTTCTCATGTTGAATTCCACCACAACATTTGCTACATCTGGATCTTCGCATAAGCAGAGCTATTGCTGCTGGTTCTGATTTCCCAGGCTCTTGGAAGGAATTTGAGCTAATACAGCTGGCCTGGAAGCGCAGTGTTTGGCTGTGAGTGCTGTCAGAAAGAGCTGTGCTCACTCATATGGCCTGGAGCCAGGGTGTGAAGCTTATTTTTATCCATAGAAAATGTCTCCAGCTTGACACATCTAAACAAACCCCCAGTCATTCCCACACCTTTGAGCTGTGCTACCTCTGGACGGAGTGTAGTACTGCCCACCTGGAAGGGCCAGTAGTTGTACTGAGGTGCTGTGCTGGTTTTCCCCATGGGGTCCTCTCAGGGGAGCTGTAGAAGGGCTCTGGGCTGCCTTTCCTCTGTGTATAGCTGTGTACTCACGGTATTAACTACTTCCTTCCCCCTAGGGGTGACAGAAAGTCCTTTACAATGGGAGGGAGTGGAGCGTTTCTCCAATCAAATCCCAGGTTTCACAATGCCGTAAATTCAGCTGAAGCTCTGCCTAGATTTGCTGTGGTTTTGACCTGACTTTGACAATTTGTTTTCTGCAGCTTTGGCTCTGATGTACGATCCAGCGTGAGTGGAATCATATTTAATGATGAAATGGATGACTTCAGCTCACCTTACATAATCAATGGATTTGGAATTCCTCCTTCTCCAGCAAATTTCATAGCTCCAGGTAGCTGTAAACTCCTTCCTGACTCAGTCTTTTGGCTGCCTTGTGCGTGCTCACACTGCAGCATCTGTGCCATGGGACACAGGCCTGGGACCTGCAGGGGACAGGAGTGGGAGAAAGTCAAGATGGAGATGAGTGCAGGGGATGGTGGAATCACCAAGGACTGAGCAGGACATGAGCTGAGTCAGGAAAGTGGATACTGAGGCTCTGTGCTTAGACATTGAGCAAGAGCTGGAAGTTTGTGAGCTGCAGGTAGAAAGTTGAGCCTCTGTGTTGCCTTTGTGTCCCCAACAGGTAAACAGCCAATGTCCTCTATGTGCCCCTCCATTTTGGTGGATAAAATGAAACAGGTGAGGATGGTGGTTGGTGCTTCTGGAGGAACAAAAATAACTACAGCAACAGCACTGGTACGTGATGGCATGGGCAAATGGGGGAAAACATGAGGGAAAATGGGAGTGGCAGTATTTGGGGGGACTCCTGTCTGCACCTGTGACAGGATCATGGCTGTGGCTCCCTGCTGGGGGCCAGCAGCTTGAAAAGGAGGTTCCTGCCTGGCATTCTGAGGGCCAGACTTCCAACACCAACTCCTACCAGGGCTACAAAAGGTCTGCTATTAAATTGCCTCCTTTAGTGAGTCCAGTGCCTCCTTTAGTGGTGTTTTCTCTGGCACAAGATTTGCTTTGAGTTCTGTTCTCTGCATCTCCAAGAGCCTATTTACCTAGTTTAGAGCTGTTCCCATCCAACATCCCAAATTTTGGATCAAAGTCACACAGAGAAGCTAAATAAGAACTCAGCTCAGGCACAGTGTCAGCCCTGACAGGTAGGGCCTCTGTGAGCTGCTGTGGCAGCCACTCAAACCTCTCAAGAGTGATTGCAGCAGTGACTGTCCCCTGTACCAGCAGCACCAGGCTAGGTCTGGCTTTTTGGCTAAGGTGGAGGAGAAGTCTGTAAAAACCGCTACAAACAATTTCCTAAGCCCTGGACTCTGAGAGTGTTCTCACTTCCCAGCAGCTCCAGCCTGCAGTTCAATCCTGTAGAGATGAGCCAGGCCTGAGGGAACTGGTTGTACAATAGCAGGAAGCTGTAGGTGTGTTTGCTGAGGTGCCTGTTGTGTGCTTAGTTACAGCAGCATAAATCCAGCCACCATAGCTTAGAGTGTGTTCATTTTTTAACCTTTTGCTGTGTTGATTTTAGTCATTCATGGTTTCTTTGTGTGGGACTCCTCCTAAGCATATACAAGCTGCAACATACCTGTGTTTTGCTTAGCCAAGAGAAGAACCACTGAAAGCCACATAACCCAGAAATGGTGCCTTTTTTGTGCTCTGGTGAACATCCGTGAGGCACCTCTGCCTGTGTGGCTCCAAGGGTCAGACTTCTCTGAACACAAGTAATTAACACTAAGGCTTTCTGCTTCTCACAGACAATCATGAATTCCATCTGGTTTGGTTATGATGTGAAGAAAGCAGTGGAGGAGCCCAGAATTCACGATCAGCTGTTTCCCAATATCACAGAGCTTGAGCAGCAAATAGAGGAGGTTGGTCTTGCTACAGCCATACATGAACTTGTATGAGCTGAGCTCCTAGTGCTGGGAAGGCAAGCAGTGTGGAAAATCATCAGGTTTGGCCAAATACTCCTAGGTGAGCAAAGCTGATACAAGTTTAGTGTTGAACAATAAGCTGTTCAAAGTGTTCCTTCAGTCTCAGTCATACAGGTGTGAAGCAGTGCATTGAAGAGTGACTTGTGTCTGAAACTGAGCATCTGCTTGAGTGATGTTTGGCACAAAGGACTTGTACAACAGCAAACCACACCAGGGCCCAGACCATCCAGCAGTCTAAATCCAGTCAGTCTCAGGGAACTCTTGTCCTGTTGTGTAACCTCATGATGAATCTGGAAGGCCTGGCCCAGAGCTAGCAAGGAGGGGTGCCCAGAGGGACCCGGGAACAGACTTGAAAATATATTCACACTAGAGATGTCAGCACAGTACTGTCAGTTGGAGAGCTGATGCCAAGGTCTGCCTTGCTCTCCAGACCACTCACCTGAGCTGGCAGCTTCATTCACCCTGAGAAACTTCACATCCCCAGAGGCCTGAGGCAGGCACAGGCTTTGTACATATCTCATGCCTCTGTATCTGCCTCTTTGTACCTATCTCATATCTCTGTGCCTCCCTTTGGCAAAACAGTCCTACATAATGCAGTTTTCTTATCAAACTCTACAGAAGTTCCTCTGTTAATTAACTTCTTATGAAGGTAACAGTGAGATATATTCCAGCACTGGGGAGGATGCCCTGCTCTCCACAAGTCCTGTATTTGCCACCACTGCCAAACAGGATCCATCCATCCTGGCTGTTAGTGTGTGGATATCTGTGACCAAGAATAATACTGGTAACCCACACTGAGCACCACAAATGCCAAATTCTTAATTCCACTTCTTCAAAAGTAGGGCATCCCAGAGGGCAAGGGGAAGAGGAGGAACAACATGTAGCCCTATGTGACACTGGCCCTGAGCACCTGGCTGGTTGTGGGGGATGCAGGGGGCAGACTGCAGCAGGTGCAGTTTCCCAGTGTGCTCACTCAGCTGTGCATTGCAGGGCATCGAGCAGCAGCTGAGGAGGAGGAGGCACGACACGGCGCGGGTGAGCGGCGGCGCGGTGGTGCAGGCCATCCTCAGGACGGAGCGCGGGTGGGCCGCCGCCTCCGACTCACGCAAAGGGGGCTTCCCTGCAGGCTACTGACCCGGCTCAGCTCCTCCTTCCAGCGCTCTAGTGACACCAAGGTGTGTTTCGGGGGAAGATCCTTTAGATCTGCAACTCAGGGACTTCTCACAGGAAAGAGAACACATTTACCTGTGATTCTGTTGATGGAACTGGGACAGTTCTCTACAGCCATGACCGAAGTGCCTCATGCCACAGCCGTCTGCTAAGACAGGCACGTCCACCAGGACGTGCAGTACTTACTTGAAGAGTCTGTTCTGCCTTGAAGAGTTTGTTCCCTGCCTCCTCTCCAGCCCATGAAGACAGATTGGGTGCCCAGTTTCTGCAGAAGGTCCAGCTCACTCATGCTGCAGGAAGCGTTTCTCCTGCACGGTGTCAGCTACCAGGAATGTCCCTGTCACTGCTAGAGAAGATATTTGTTTCCTGTTGAGTAGGTGGGAGTTACAGGACTCTGGGACTGGGTTTTCTAAGTTACAAACTAATAGGCCTGTGCCATAGCAGGAAGCCCAGCTCTAGACTGGGATAAGCCAAACTCACCACTCTGTTAACAAAAGATGTTTCTGCATTTCACCCAGTTGATTTTTGGAGATGAGTGGGGAAATGGGGAAATAGCTTCAAACTTTTTTTATATTTCTGTTGAGAAGGTCTAAAGGGAAGATGCTACCTGTAAAACTCTGAGCACAACTAAAATAAATAAATACGGAGTCACACATTTTCCTTGCCTGCACAGTTGATGCAAAAACAGATGGTGAGAGTCTGTGTGAAAGAAGCTCTTCTGAGACTATTGGTTTTTTTTTTTCACTGCTTTGATGAAGTCATGAGTAAGCAATAATAGTTACATATCCAAAACAAGCTTGTTTTTCTCCACTTCGTTTTTTATGATGTCGTACTACAGGCATGAAATATCAGAGTTTGGGGAAATGAAATTTCTAAAAAAGGGCACACTGCAGCTACTCTTTTTAAAGGTAAGTTACTATTAACCAGACTTTTAAGGACCTCTCAGAAATCCCTGTCTGATATGGAGCAGCTGAGAGTGTTTGTACCTGCATGAAGGGGTTTGGTGTTCACCTACCAGCACAGACCAATACATCATGTCACATAAACTTAGCCCAAGATCAAAACCAAATGATCCAGGGGGTTGTCACACTCTACTGGTGTTTTATAAATCCTTGATACACAAGTGGCAGTAAGTTAACTCATCTATTTGGCTTGTTTAAACTTCCTGTTTGTCAGAACCTTAAAATACAGAAGAGAAAATGAAAGTCTGAAGTTTTAGGCATCATGCAACCTCTTTCCTAGAAGTGTCTGGAGCTGAGGAGAGCCCAGTTTCACAGAATAAGGTGATAGCTAGATGATGTAAATCAGAGTCATGGCTTCGACATACATATTTGCTTATATCATTTGATCCAAATGAGTGGCTTTTACCAAATGTGCTGTGGGTGTGCTCTGGCTCCTTTTCCTGAGCTCTTGCTGGTGGTGCTGCTTTAGGTGCAGCAAAGGCAGTGATTGTAAATTACCTCTAGTCACTGTGTTCCCTCTTGTTCCCTCAAGAGATCAGTCTGGGGCCAAGCCTGTGTCCTCTTATTGCCAAACTAAGACTTTCACTTTTCCATTTCTTCTAATTCCACTTCTGGTGTTCCTCAATGGCAGGCTGGCTTTGGAATTGGGACTAGCTAAATTCTTTCTTGGCTAGATGTGACCTGGGAAATAAAGAAAATTACTGCACAGCAAAATAAGCTTATTGGAATCTTACAGTCACTACAGTTAGTCCAGAATTAGAAGGGAACAATTTCTGGGAAGTGCCTGTTGGACAACCCTGATTTCTGATACAGGTCTGAGTGGCTGCTGCTGGGCTGCATCTAACAGTTTGTGGTGCAGCAGTTATTCTTATGTTCCTGAATTTATTCTTGCTAGTCAGAAAATTCCCCTATTGTTGATAACCTGTGTTAATAAGCTTCCCCTGTGGAAAGCTTAAAACACTCCTAGTTACAACTGTTCTTATAAAAATGCATTTGAATTCTTGACTCTGCAGAAGTCGAATTTGGTTGGTTGTTTTTTAGCAGTAGGGAAAAAAAAGAAAAAAGGAAGGAAAAGGAAGGATTTGTTTAACTAGGCTACAGCTGCAGAGGAGGATTTGTTAAACTGGGCTACAGCTTGCACTTATACCCTATGTTTTTAAAAAGCTGTGGATACTTCTGCAAGCTGTAGTTATCTGCATCTCATTTGGACATATCTGTACACAGAGCAGACACTTCTGCCACCTGCTTGGGGACCACATCTCACTCACCCTATGCTGGGGCTGTCTGTGTATCAACAGCCAGATGTCAGGCAGTGGTTCCTGCTGTTAAACCTCCAACTGCACCCCCCAGGCTGCTCAGCTTACGGGATATTTCAGCTGCAGGGAAAATCCTCTGGATAGGATGAGAGGGAATGCCTTTGAACTGAAAGAGGCTACATTTAGGTTACATACTAAGATGATATTCTTTACTGTGACAACAGTGAGCCCTGGCAGAGGTTTACCCAGATAAACCCTGGCTGTCCCATGCCTGGAAATGTTCAAGGATAGGTTGGATGGCACTTGGACCAACCGGGTTTAGTGAGTGACATCCCTGCCCATGACAGGAGGGTCAGAACAAGATGGTCTCTGAGGTCCCACCTTGTGAATGCAACTACCTGGTCCTGCTCCTGGGTGCACACTGTGTGTTGGTGTGGGCTGCCTGCCCAGTGCAGGGCAGAGAACAGGGCACATTCCATGACTGATTCCAGCTGATGTGAAAGGAAGCTGTACCATTAAAAGGCAATTCAGATGATGAGCTGGAAGGTTCGCCTTTTGCTCCTATTCTTCAATCTGACATTAGCACAAATTTATTTTGGCAACCATCCAGCCTCTGCAAGGGAACAAAACTCAGCCGTGAGAGACAAGTGGCACAAGCTGCACTGTTCCTCAGCTTCTCCAGCAGCATATGAGGCTCCAGAATGAACAAGTGTCACTGCTGGAAACACCTGCATGGAGTCCTCTGTGCTTGTGTGATGGAGTAGGCAACAGGTTTAGAGGAGAAAATCCCAAACAGATTTAAAAACACTTTATTAAAAGTATAACTTAAATACTTCATTAGAAAATAGAGCAGCCTCTGTATGATGATGCCTTAGAAGTCCATGAAAGTTGATTTCAGTACAAAAATAATGCTCTCTTGTTGGGAGGAGCAGGAATGTGGAGAGACCAAACCAATAAGCGCTTGACCCAAACAGATTTCAGCAGCAGGGAGGAGGTGGCAGGGCAAGTGCAGAGGTGCCAAAGCAGGTACAATCTCAGCTTCACCAGGTATTCTGCTAGGAGGAACTGCAGGACTGGAAGTCTCTGCTGTGCTGAGAGATACGCACTCCCATTCCTTTCTGTCTTGCAAATTAAACCTGTGATGGGTTTTTTAACTGCTTCACTGGCTCACTTGCAAAGTTAATAGCAAAACAGTGAAACTGCAGTGAGTACTGGACTACAGATAATATTCCCATGTTTTTGTGGTAGGAAGTAGCTGTGATACTACTGCACTGGAAAGGTGATAGGCTGGAGTACTGCAGGGTGCTTCACCCTAAGGTGTGTCAGAAGCAAAGGTAATGGAAGACTTAGTTACTTGGTGTCATGATGGAGAGAGACCAGAGCACTGCTGAAGGTGGCCCTGAAGCCTAATAGCAAAGCTGGGAGTTCTCTCCCTGTCTCCAGCCAGAGCCACTCTCAGCTGCTGATTGTAAATTTTCAGCTCAGTGGGGTTAGCTGGAAATAACCCCGGATCTTGCCAGAGACAGCATCCAGCCTGGGCTGTGTGTCTGGAGCTGCAGACGGTGCCTGGCGCCTGTCAGTGCTTCCCCTGCACAGCTCTGTCAGCTCCTATTCCTGACCCCACCACTGATGCACCCAGGAACTGCTGGCTGGGGCAAGGGACTTAATCAAGGCAGAGGACTTCAGCATATTAGGCAGATTTGGTTTCTTTGGTGGTCATAGTCAATGTAGCCCCTTCCAAGTCAACATAAAACTGCCCCTCGACTGCTTGTGCTGCTGTTTCCTTTCCCATTCACCAGCACGGTGTTGCTACCTCACAGGGTGCCAGGCCACTTCCACAGTGTGAGTGAGCAGCTCTGATGGAGAAACCAGCAGTTCTTCCTGAACTGGGGATTTAACATGAATTCCACTTGGACAAGGAGGGGGCAGGGCAGTGGGAGCTGGCTCCATCCATGAGTAACTTGATTTCCAGCTGGGTGACTGAGTGCTTGCGGTTACAATCTGGTAACTCATCAATCTTTCACTGGTACAGCTGGGGCCGTGCTGCAGTCCTTGGGGTACAACTTCTGAAGGAAAACACATCTGGCTCTGGTCAGCTTCACTTGGACCATCACTAAAATGCAAGTGAAGGCTGCCATTTCAGTAAATGGATGGCTTTACTGGACAGGCCTTGTGGGTAAAAACATTGGAGTAAAGTCTAGCTGGCCTTGTTTTAATTTGTGTTTTTTAATAGTGTGTGCTTGTTATGATGATTACACAGGAATTCTGTTTCTTGGAGAACTAGGAGTCCCAAGAGATCTGTGTGTGAGGGGGAGGGCTCTGCAAGTGCCTGGCTCTGGTTTCTTTCAGACACACACACACAACACTGTGCCCATAGGGCAGTCAGGCTCAGAAGCTTTCAGAAAATGGAATTTTGGAGGATTCTGGGAATTTGACCCTGCATATTTGAAGAACTTTGGGGGTTTTCTGGGTTTTAGGTTTTATTTTCATAAATGTTTGATTCTCTTGGTCATTTTGAGCAGGGCAAGGCTATGGATTAACTGCAAAAGACCATTTGCATCCAGGTGCAAAATCCAGGACCTTTTGCATTCAGATCTCTTCTCTGAAAGTTTTCTCTTTCTGTGATAGTTCTTAGAGTCCTACAATGCCCGCTGTGTGGTCTGAAAGGAACACAAGAGACAACAGGCTGTGATAAACAGGGATTTGGAGCATGTAGGATATGGGAGGATTCTCCTTGTGCCTGATAATGCTGCATCACTTCTCAGCAGTCCTGGTGGTTGCCTGGGCAGGCTGAGCTAAAGGCTACAAATGAAATCTCCTGGTCACGTATACTTTGCAATTTGAAGAAAGATCTAAAGTTTCCAAAAGCAACATTTCCACTGCCTTCCCAAATGATGTACCGGTGTTGAGGAACTGGCACAGACTGGGACCCATCTCGCCACAGCGAGAGGCATCTCCAGGGAGCTCAGCTGAAGCCTGTTGATCCCAGGAGCAGGGAAATCACATGCCCCTTGGGAGGCTGTTCTCAGAGTCACTGTGTGCAGGGCTGGAGAAAGTGTTGGTGCAGTTACCTGAGCTTGTGGTTGGGTGAGTTTTGCACCCCCAAGGCAGAGAGCAGCAGGCAGGCCAGCACTTGTGCCATGGTGTGATTTTATCTGCCACCTTGGGGAAAAGCTGGGCTTCTTCAGATGGGAAAAGAGAGGGAGAGTGTGGAATTTTGATCTCTTCCCTTTCCGAATCCATACTCTAAGCCTGAATGCTTCAGATTTTAAAATCCTGATCTTACAGACTCTTCTTGTTCATGACTAAAATAGTTATGTATTTCACATTGCTGAGCCCCAGAAATAAGCTTATTGTGGAGCAGCCTGAAAGAAACTGAGATTCCATCAGGAATGGAAGGTGCAGCTGGGCTATTTCACAGTGATCTCAGTGGGATT